AAGACCATTATTTGACAAAATGGCCCAAGAGACGACAGTTACTTCGGACTTTGAACTGGTCAAGAAATTACAAAAGTGGTCAATTCTAAATATGAATGGAAATACTATATTTTGTACTATTGATGTAGTAGATTTATATACAATGATTCCACAAGTAGAAGGAGTACTATCATTGAAGAAAATGTTAGATTATTTGAAGTTGAAAAAGGTTGGTGGCTTAAAAGTAGAAACTATTATTCGATTAAGTCGATTTGTGATGAAAAATAATTATTTTTCTTATGATGGCCAATTTTATCACCAGATTAGAGGTGGAGCTATGGGATCGCCGTTAACTTTGACTTTAGCTAACTGTTATATGTTTTTCTTTGAAAGACAAATAGTCAAACAAATTAAAAATAGCGGTGGACTCTTTTTTCGATATATTGATGATTTATTTATAGTAATTAATTGGCCTGTTCGGCATTTATTAAAACAAATCGACAAATGGAAGAATTTTGATGAAAATATTAAATTAAATCCAAATATTAACTCATTTGCGACTTTTCTCGATTTATATATGGAAAATCGTGATGGTGTATTATTTACTACTGTTTATCAAAAGCCGTCTTATGAACCGTATTACTTGCCATTCAATAGTATTCATCCGTTACATATGAAAAAGAATATACCTTTTACGATGTTACTTCGAGTGATTAGGTATTGTTCTACATTTCAAACATATTTGGATGAACGTGAAAAGTTACGTATGGCTTTATTACTTAATAAGTATCCAAATAAATTAATTGACGAACAGTTTAATAATGTCCTTTTAAAATGTAATATTGACGAGCCATTAACAAACTTAAATTATGATAAATATCGTCAACACGTCATCGATTCACCCATGAAAGAAAAAGTTACGATTGATTATGAAGCAGTTATGTTTATACATTTTACATACTGTTCTACTATGAAAACTTTTCCCGCTAAATTCCATTTACTTTGGAATAAATACTTTGAGGAATCTCCTATTAATGAAGTTAGACCTATTCTTGGCACTCGAAATGTGAAGAATATACATAGACGTCTAGCTTTTAATATGTAATCATATGATGAATGATTAGTGTGGAATTTACTATACAGTTATTTTGTCTACTTATATAAATTTTATGTATGGTTTCAACTTAAATAATTAAGACAACGAAAATATATTATTCGACTACCCAATATATATTTTGCTATGGTTTAGTTATTTTCAATTAATCTATAATAATTGGTATTGTTTTCAATCACATTAATATAAATATACTTACTTTTAAAGAGATTATCAACATATTTGATGATATATTGATTAATTGAATTCTCTTACATCTGCAAATCCGTTAAATATACGTTGAGTTATTTAAAATATTAGCAATTGGTACCGTTAAATATACGTTGAGTTATTTAAAATATTAGCAATTGGTATCGTATGGCTTGTACTTTTTTGATTTGCTATATGAGAATTATAAAATAGATATTATTTACGTCTATTGATGTTCAATTACCTATAATTTAATATTATTTCCTTAAACAATAGAAATTGAAGTTGAAGACTGAAATTGGTATTGTATGGCTTGTACTTTTTTGATTTGATACATGGGAAATAATGTTTCTATTGTTGATACCAATAGAGACAAACAAGTGATGATAAATGATATTATTGAACTACAAGTTCATCATCACGTACACGTACTAATATTTCAATGGGTGATTCTCAACCAATTTCATTAACTACAATTTAGTGATATTATAGAACTATAAGTTCACCATCACGTACACGTACTAATATTTTAATTGTTGATTATCAACCGATTCCATCAAGTAAAATTTATTGATCAATCAATTATTTATTTCACTTGGTGTCTTACATTTGATTTATTACAAACGGTCCTTAAATGATATTTTTCCCATCGTATGGGAGACGACCGAAATCAATCTATTCTGTTGCCTATACTACTTAGAGGTCTATCTGCCTCTATATATTAGAATTCTCTGAAGATATAGATTGTTTATACTTATGTAATCAAAAGTTTAACGGACTTTATATTGAACTGATATTAATGGACTTTATATTGAACTGATATTAATGGACTTTATATTGAACTGATATTAATGGACTTTATATTGAACTGATATTAATGGACTTTATATTGAACTCCCAACTTGGATATTGCATGAATGTACGATGATGGCCTTTCGTAGACAATCAGTGATATATCGACAATCATAATTAACTGATACACTTTCTCATCAAGCAAAATTTATTGATCAATCAAATTCCCTTTTTTTATTATGAGGAATCAGTGAAAAATCAATGTATTAACAGCATGATTAATGCTCTTATTTTCATGTTATACTTTTAGTATATTGGCTTCTCATTGTTTATTTGTTGCAATATTTTTCTATGTGTATATTTTGTCGCCATTATGCACACGTACTAATATATTAAAAATACTATAATATGTTTGTGACCTGTACTTTTAGAGTTTATTGTATTTCTCGTGTAGTATTAACAGTATTAGCTTCAAAGTTTATTATATTGCTTAGCTTTCTTCGCATTTTATGTTGTGTTTTTGAAATGCAGAGCCCTGATGAGTGTTTCATTATTTCAATAAAATAAACATGAAACGCGTCGGCGAAAATAAACTCTGCATTCTCTTTTAATTATTTCATAAAGCACAGATACTTAATTTTGCAAATTACCTACGACTTCATTGGTTGCTGAAAAGCAAGAGTTGAGACTAGCAGATTGATTTGTATCTGAGAGATATAGATTGATCTGTTTCTATTTGATTTACCCACACCCACACCCACACCCACCCCACACCCACACCCACACCCACACCCACACCCACACCCACACCCACACCCGACCAATGGCTTCATTCAGATTTATATGATGTACTTATGATGGAAGAAATTCAAGATGCATTACTAGATGCCTATGATTACGAAAAAATGGATGAACCCTACAAATGGGAACAAGAACAAATACAT